TTTTCACACCCGTAATAATTGTCTGGTTCTTACGTTGGCACTGAAGATTACATGAATTAAATCAACACAGAAAGACGCACGAAGAAAGACTCGTCTCTCTTCCATCCATATGCGTACCAAACAGTGACGTTCCAAGCGTCACTCGCAACACTCGCAGCGCAGACCAATTAAGCTCACAACACTTTTCAAATGATTTTTTTTCTTTGCAAAGATCATGTGTAGCCGGCATATCATCCTTACTATTATGTGATGCGCACACATACGGGGGAGGGTTTGTCTGACCATGTCCTTAGTGCCAGCAATATTTTATTGACCAACCAAGGCTCGCGGCGGGACTTTTATCTTTATTTCAGCACGTGTCATGTTTATTGTGTTTTTTTCTCGTGTAAGATGAACAATGATAATAACGCAAATAATTCACTCTGCCATTGTACTTTGCCCACGGTTTCATCCTTTCATCATACAATCGGCAACTTGTATACAACTCTTACCAATTCTACGTTTATACATGGATTCCATTCACATGTATTGACCGGCCCCTCATATCTTGTCCTCCACAAACCTAGGCCTATGTGGTACTGCACTGGGCAGAACCGCTGAAAACTAAAATCATTCTAGAAGACATTGTTATGAATCTTCGATCTTCTGGATGCAAGGCGAACTAACGCTGGACCATTTTAAGTTATCGCATCGGTTATTCTGTTATCATTAAAATTGCAAGGTGAAAATCTGAAACAGTGCAATAATTGTGAACTCTTATGTCGATCATCTCAAGACATTAAAAATTTAAAGCCTTAGTTCCTACGTAAGTAGACTAGCGCAGTGTCGCTGTCCGTGGAATTAAACCTGCCTCAGCCTAGAATGTAGGCTGTTTATACATGTGACGTCTACGTCACTTCTAAGTCGTCTTCACCCGGATGGCGGGACCCAAGTTTCACGACTGTAGCCGGAGCCGCTTCCCTCATACATGGGCGTCCGGTTACTTGCCTGGAGCAGCTGAAGGGAAGATGAATAGAATATTTTTGATTAGCAAAAGGCTGTTCTCAGTATTTTCTCTATTCCTGTCTTCTTACTTTATTTTAGCATTATAAATTAGCATTTTTGTCTCAGTTGCCATTCTTTATCATTGTTGAATGATCTTATCCTACATGCATGTTCCCACGATGTATAATCTGGTACAAATTATTGATTTTCACAAGTCATTGCTACTAGCTACGTA